GACCGGCCCGTCTGGCACCAACAACCATGCCACGCTCAAAATTGCTTAAATCACCTTTCAGTTTGGAGTTCAGGAGATTGTCTTGACCAGGACCACACCCCTAAATGCATTGAAGCAACTGCCATGTGATTGGTTGATTAGATAATTGCATTAATGAGAAATTGAACAGGTGTTCCTAAGAATCCTTTAGGTGACTGTAGATATATTAATTAGCCACAACCTGTTTAATTAGCCACATTGCTTTTACTTTCATCAGACATCACACTTTCTGTGACCAGCCCCTAACCAGGAGAATGACCGAAGCAGATTATCCCATTTAGCTGATTACAGTGCAGACCCACCCACACTTATCAGTGAATGAGCCTTCATAAAACATATTTTTAAGACGTGACAGTAATTCTGGAGAAATAAAAACATTCACAAACTCGATAGTGTGCTGTAAGTTGTCAAATGGAAAGGCGTACATTATAACCTATGTAAAAAAAACTAACACTGGCATGTAAAGCGTTGATTATTCAGACAGTAGAACGCTGAGTGCCACGCACACATCACTCACCAGTCTCGGGAATGTGCTCATTTTTGAACACCCTGAGTTTGGCCAGAGGTTTTCTAGCTTGGTCTCCATCTAGTTCAAACCGATCGTCCATGAATGAGTCATCTAGCCGCTGGGTTTCATCCATACCCTCTGAGAATCGATAACGACACGAGAAGTTATTTCAGGATGGGAAACGCAACTATCATCAACATTAATCAGTAGGCTATATACACCAAGGAAAGAGTTATACCTAATTTCACGAGAACTAATGCATCATTTATATTTGGAAAACTACCCGGAGATGTCTGAAATTAACTAGACACATCTCAATCATCTACTGATCGCCACTGATGCTACATCAATAAGGCCATCACTAAGGCAAATATAAATGTAGATAACCATAAGTCAACTATGCGATGTTACAGACATTCAAACCAGCTAATCATCGATATTATCCTTCAGAGTGTCCATCTGTAATGCGCCTGCTAAGAAATACACAAGATAACAAGGACTATAAATCTGCACCCAACTGAGGGGTACGCTAGGGCATAGCAATGAGCAGCGTGCAAGGAAAGTATGTGCGCTCGTGTTTTTTTTCATACAACACATGCATAGAAGAATATTTTAGAGAAACCATAGCTTGCACTGACAAATTCCTCTCTACGCCTGTGATCTAGGTCGATATAGTACGCGAGCAACAAAATGAAAACTTACCTCATCTATGTTTCCAACTACATATAAAACGGTAACACTCTATTTCCGGAACAAAAGAAAGTATGTTCATCAAGTCGTCTCTCTATTGGTTGAACTCAACGTCGCTTATCCATTTTCTACTTCTGATTGGAGAACATTTATGTCTGTTTAAATTTCGGAGCACCGATGAGGTATTCGGGGTGACGATTGTTTGAACAGATATATTTCCACGCTAAAGGTGACGCTGGAATTTCTTCGATTTGTTGGTGTTCTTTGTAGTACTCGCAGGTTTGTATATTAATATAAAATAATACACATCTTCCCGCTTCCCGACCTGGAAAATTGGTAGGAGATGGATGGATGGAATATACATCTTACTGGAAAACTGGCTTATTTTAACATTTATATTATATAGCAGCATATATTTTTAAACATTGTGCGGCCTTAAATTTCAGGTTTTAAATAGGTCGAATTCATGACTAAAATTTTGCGTACGATACTAAATATCTCAGCAGTTCTGAAAAAGTTTAAAGCTTTTGCCAAAGTTACTAGTCATGCCCATTATTTCTGAACAAGTAAGGGGTCTGCTTGCTCAAATAAAGAATAGTGAATACCACTGCATACGTTCAAGCATATTACTCCTAATATATCCTGTTGTATCTGTACTTTTCACCCTCCCAAAATAAGGGATAATGTGATTATTTAAGATGAAGGATGCCTTGCCAATTTGAGTTTGTATCAAACTATACAAACTGCAACATTGTTTTCCACTGTTATAATGCAGGGTGGGTGGGTACTCCAGTTTCCTGAAAATCTTGCAATGGTGTGAGATTGTGCAAGAGTGTATGACCCCTGTGGTGGGCTACTGATTTCCTCTAGGTCAAGGTTACTCCTTTATTTTCCACGAGGCCCAAATTTGATCACATTTCATCAACCAAGATCCATAGCGGGGAGTGTGGTCGATCACAAGTTTGTCATTTGAGTACCCCTGATTAGGATGCTCATCTAACTTGTCCCCTATACTGTCTGGGATACACTCTAGACCTCCCTCATGACCATGTACTAGGTAAGTGATTGGAAGACAGATAGATGGAATATAAAACATTTTTTCACCAGAAGTACAAAACTATAGACATATATTTATATTTATGACCTATACTTAACTGTCATCTGACAAAAAAATTATATGTTGGAGAGACTTTTGAAAATGTTCTGTTTAACTGACTACCCATTCACTGTTGGGTTGATTTGGAGTCCATCCGATGAAGCAGAGGACAGGGATCACTATGGAAAGGACACTGAGCAGGAACACGCAAACACTTAGGGATACACTGTGGCAGCACACCTGAGTGTAAAGAGGAAAATCAAAGGAAATTTTATTGTCATTGTGCAACATATACAATGTGCACATACACAATGAAATGAAACAGTAGGCTCTCCTAGCGCAAGCATCACACATAGCAATAATCATAGAATAGAATAAATAACAGTGCAACAATTAGTGACCCCTGAAAGACAAGGTACACTCCACATGGAGCTGGGATCCTCCTAATTACCTCATTCCCATTTCACTCCTTAATATAGCTTGATGTCAGTGTTAGCTGAGAAGGAAGGGGTGGAGCCTAACAGGACACAAAGTACATACAGCTGGGTGCAGGATTCAAACCCACAACTATGGAAGTCTGAGGCAAAAGCAGCACACGTGGAGCCACTGCAATGGGCTTTCTTCTTTGACCACTTTCTGTGTGGCCCTTTTGGTGTGGTGATTTTTTACTTTTATTTGTTTTCAAACGTAGAGCAGACAAAGTGACAAAACCCTATCTCAAAATAGGCTAAAGAAAAAAAGGCAAACACACCCTGTTTTCTAGTAAACAAAGGCACTTTGAAATCCAACTTGGCTTCTGTTCTGCCCCATCTGTGTCTGCCTCGCTCAAGCAAAGAGAAGTGACTCCCTTACATAGCACACTCCTGCCCTGTCAGAATTTACAGTGAGCAGCTCCTTGCTTGGGGCAAAGGAGTGTCAAAGGGTCACAGCATGCTTCTTCAGAGGTTGCATGGCAATAAGCAGAGGTGACCAGTGTCCAGTGAGGTGACCCAGCCCCAGATAAGATCATCAGAATAGAATAGAATAGCCATTGTATTGTCATTCAGAACATACACCAGTTAGTGCACATCAGAATGAAATTACATTGCATAGACTCACCATCAGCCTAGCAGAGTGTGTTAATACTAGAAAAAACGTAAACTTAAAAATATAGAGTCTAAAGAGAGAATAAATAGGAAATGGAATATATGTGGAACGAGTATACTTGCAAAAACCAGTGTACATCACCATTTACTGTAGGTTATAGTGCAAGGCATATAGTGCAAAAAGTTCTTGAAAAAGTGACATGTGCATGGATGGAGAGAGGCAGAGTGTGGGGAGGGGGTTGGGGAGGGGTTGCCATAAGTTATTAAGAGTTCAGGTGTCTAATGGCTTGAGGAATGAAACTATTACAGAATCTGGCTGGCTGGGCTCTGATGCTGCAAAGCCTCTTCCCAGAGGGCAGCAGGGAGAACAGTCTGTGGTTGGGGGTGGGTGGAGGGTCTTCCCACTGCTCTAATACCTAGTAGTAGAAATCCTCTCACATTCCACACCTAGATCCATCCTGTGTGTCCGTCCTCTCACAGCAGTCCTACAATTCTGCTCATTCAATCCATTCAGAACATACAAATTTTCCGTCTAGCCTGCTATGTCTGGTGTTTTCATCTTCACATCTTGCCACGGGAGTATTAAGCCATGCTGACACTTTCATTATCATTTTTGATGTTCAAAACAGTGAACAACCTCAAACCACAAAGCAATTTGGAAAACAAAAGGCCCTTTCAGAAGGTCTCGGAAAACCTCAAAACCAACAATTCTGTCTGTTTTTATTTGGTATTTGAGCCCACGTAGGTGTGCCTGTCTGGTGGCTGTAAACAGGCGTTATGCCTCAACAAGCCCGTTATGGTAATATTCACTGATGACACCAACTATCTCTGGTTTCACCAGTTAATCACTGAAAGTAAACACAATGACTGTATTTACAATTTAAATGTAGTATATTCTTATTAAGTTGTTAATGCTGTAAAACATAACATATCTATATATAAGCTGCAATTTGGGTGTGCTAGGAGAGCTATTGTGAATGTTATTTACTCTGTATATTGTGTGATGTTCTTAGCAAAAAAAATCTTCATATAGAAAGTTAGAGCTGATCCTCAGCTGCCTGGTGTGGCCAGAAATTTGACATGATTGGCAACCAAGTTGAGACAAAATGTGAAAATTCTGTAGAGAATTGGATTTGACATTATGATTGACACCCATTCCCACCAATCATCTTCCAGTTTGTCCCAGAGAGCCTGGAGTCTATCCCAGGCAGTACAGGGATACCCTGGACAGGATGCCAGTCCATTGTTGGGTACACACATGCACATACCATGGGAAACTTAGAGGCACCAGTTAACCTAACTTCATGTCTTTGGAAGACCCACACAACACGGGGAACACATGCAATGTCCACACAGACAGCCTGGAGCCTGGATTTGAACCCCAACCCCGGAGGTGTAAAACAACAGTGTTATACAACGAGCAGCTGCGCTGTCCTCTGTTCATCTCCCATAATTGCCTTATCAGATAGTAATTATGGTGGTCTAGCAGGAGTCTCTACCTCATTGGGACACCAGACTGGGGCATGGTGAATGTATACAATAATGCTCATTTTAGTACTATAACCACTCATTCCTTATTTATGTCAAATTTGCTATGTGTAAAATAGCTTTGTTTGGTCCCCTTAGGCCCATAAACAAGGCTAAAGTGTAAATCGGCATTTTGTAGTCTGTAATCTTATTAACTGGGAGCATTAAGGTATTTTTCATCCAGTTAAAAACCTCCAGTCCCAAACACAGCCCCAAAAGCTTTGTTTACTCATTTTGTACTGATTCTTCACTATGATGAGGGAAATCTTTCTCCTTATTTCTATATGGTCACCCAAGTAGATAAAAATTCTGTATTCATACCTGCCAAAGAAATCCGAATTGAATCATTGCGGCAGATGTGTGTCCCACATAATATTTTCACTGGAGCAGCTGTAAACTGTAACATAATATTTGAAATCTCCACAATGTAATATAGTTGTTCTTTGAGAAATTCTATAAATGCATTTCCTGAGAGCGTAACGCTCATGGTGCAGAATGTGAGGCCTATGTGAATTACTTTTCCCTTTTCACCGAGTGATTGTACGCACAAAAATGAACAGTGGTTTTATTTTATAAAAATGCCTTTTATTTTCCCCACAGAGGCTCCTTTCTTTTCAAGACATAAAAAGGGAAATAGAAAATAGATAGCATCAAATATTAAGAATAAACTAAAAAACAATACAACCAAAAAGGAAGTTTTAAGCGTCTCTTTAATAACTGATAAACAAAATGGAAATAAAACAACATAAAGCTTAATCATGATTACCTATGCAAACCTTTTTGAGACCTTTCAAGAGATTCCATTACTACAAGTTGTCATCCATTTTTATTGAAGTCCTCTAGCAAACATACCTTCCACACAAATACTTCCTGCATGTACAATGCACATGTCCACCTGACTGGAGTATTTTCTGTGACATTTTGTGTCTTTGGTGTTACATGCATATCTTCTGCCCGCCTACCCCCACCCGAGACGTTGGCTGGCGTTCGAGTGAGGTTTATTGTTTGAACAGACAGAGCTAAAATTACTTCATGTCTCTCAGTCCAAAAGTATGTACATGTGCACAGTGACATACCACTACTAGGCATTTGCTTTTGTAGTTTGGGTAATCCACTCATTCCATTATGTTCATTGAGTGCTATCAATCTGGGACATGAATAATTCAAGCCAAAAAACTCTCATACTGAGCAATCGTTTACAAAACCCAAAATCTCATCTCATTCCAAATCAAGAAATGATGTGATAAGATATTCTGTTGATGGTCACTGAGATCAACATTGGGCTGGGCGAAGCTTGGTCACAAGATATAAAAATTTTAAAATACTAAATGAAAGGTAATAAATAAATATAAAACAAAAATCCTTCTCTTTCATTCTTTTTGATGATTCCGCCTCATATAACCATCCAAAAATCATCCAATACTTGGTTTACTTTCATGTGACTTTCAGTGATCTCAGTGTCTCCAAGCATTTGTTCTCTGATTCTTGTGACTACCTTGACAAGCTGGTTGTAGTACTGTTGCCACTCGACTTACTACCTAGTTTAGTGGCTGGTCCCTAACCGCCCCCATCACTGTCAGAATTTCAGTAGACAGCAGGAACCAAAGAACAAACGCATGGAACCAATGATGTGGCCTGATCTTTGTTTCTGGACTGGATGTGCTGAACACTTCAGATGGTTTTCTGCAAGCCTATTATTTTCTCCTCCCCTCACATCTGAAGTTGTCTTCTGGATCCTGTGTCTTGTTCAGCTTCTTTTGTTCCGCTTTTGTCTCATGTAGGTCTCATCTTTCCTGCCTTTCTGTTTAGAGATTGTGATGCTTTTCCTTCTTTCGTGAACTCTCCAAATTTGCTGTCATACTTTTAGCTCTTCATTTCACTTGCTTCTCTCAGCCCCTTCTTCTGTGTTCTTATTCTTTTGCCTCAATTGTAATTTGGAAATCTGCCCCCATCCCATTTTCCCTCCCACAGCTACCTAATTGCTACTGAATCTTTGCCCTTAAGCATCTTCCTCAGCCTCTTCCTCAAACTCCCCCTCTTCCTCAGCTGTGGCATCCTGGTACTGCTGGTACTCTGAGACCAAGTCGTTCATGTTGCTCTCAGCCTCAGTGAACTCCATCTCATCCATGCCCTCGCCGGTGTACCAGTGCAAGAAGGCCTTGCGTCGGAACATGGCAGTGAACTGCTCGGAGATGCGCTTGAAGAGCTCTTGGATGGCTGTGCTGTTGCCAATGAAGGTGACAGCCATTTTGAGGCCCCTGGGTGGGATGTCACACACGGCAGTCTTGACATTGTTAGGGATCCATTCGACAAAGTAGCTGCTGTTCTTGTTCTGCACATTAAGCATCTGCTCATCAACCTCCTTCATGGACATCCTACCCCTGAAGACAGCCGCTACTGTCAGGTAGCGCCCATGTCGCGGGTCACAAGCGGCCATCATATTCTTAGCATCAAAGACTTGCTGCGTGAGCTCAGGCACTGTGAGGGCACGGTACTGCTGGCTTCCTCGGCTGGTGAGTGGGGCAAACCCAGGCATGAAGAAGTGCAAGCGTGGGAAGGGTACCATGTTGACAGCCAGTTTGCGGAGGTCGGCGTTGAGCTGACCAGGGAAACGCAGGCAGGTGGTGACACCGCTCATGGTGGCTGACACTAGGTGGTTGAGATCGCCATAGGTGGGTGTGGTCAACTTCAGAGTGCGGAAGCAGATGTCGTAGAGGGCCTCGTTATCAATACAGTATGTTTCATCAGTGTTCTCCACAAGCTGGTGCACAGACAGCGTGGCGTTGTAGGGCTCCACCACAGTGTCTGACACCTTGGGGGAGGGCACCACACTGAAGGTGTTCATGATGCGGTCGGGGTACTCCTCGCGGATCTTGCTAATCAGCAGGGTACCCATACCTGATCCAGTGCCCCCGCCCAGGGAGTGTGTCAGCTGGAAGCCCTGGAGGCAGTCACAGCTCTCTGCCTCTTTACGGACCACGTCCAAGACAGAGTCGACCAGCTCGGCCCCCTCCGTGTAGTGACCCTTTGCCCAGTTGTTGCCAGCCCCACTCTGACCTGATGAAGTAGTATTGGAGGAGAGTTAACCATCACCCATTCTTTTACTTGGTAATCAAACTGATTCCACATAGTCAAATGATTTTGTCAAACTGATTTGGTCAATTTGTATTGTACATTTTGTAAGATGGGTAGCTAATCACCACTTACCAAACACAAAGTTATCTGGTCTGAAGATCTGGCCAAATGGTCCTGACCTCACAGAGTCCATGGTACCAGGTTCCAAGTCCACCAGAATGGCTCTGGGCACATACTTGCCTCCTCCATGAGAATCAGAAGCAGAGAGAAACAGACCAGCTCAATATTGCAGAAAAACATGGGCAGGTTTAAATAAATTAGCTGAAGTAGGGATTTATTCAGCACAGCGATACAGGGAGACCTGAATAATTCTTTAGATTTTTTTCACTAAATTATTTAACTGTTAAGTAAAGACTAAAGATATTACTAGGGTTTGTATTACTGGTGAAACCCTCATCATACTGAGAACCTTTGAGTGAAGATTGCTTACCTGTGGCCTCGTTGTAGTACACACTGATCCTGTCCAGCTGCAGGTCACTGTCACCATGGTAGGTACCAGTGGGGTCAATTCCATGCTCATCACTGATCACCTCCCAGAACTAGAAGAGAGTGAAAAGGAAATATGTACCAAAACCAATTCCCAATAGACAGAAAAAATGACACTCTAAAAAGGGAGCAATGAAATTCCAGACCTTCCCATCTAAGGAGAAATGTTCTCATAAGCACAAAGGAATATAAATTAATCCAGGAAAATGGGACCACCAAAACAAATTTTAACAGCAGCAGAGTCAGTGTGGGTCAGGTTATTGACCCAGGTTATCATCAGCTATAGAAATCCTGAATCTGACATTGAGCAGTAGATCACATGCATGTTGAAGAGTTACAGTTCTTTACTGAATGGTAAGTGAATAGCGATTGCAGATGGCTGTTGAACTGATCATGGTCTCTAAAACTGAATTTGGAAAGGGCTGATTCTCTGAATACCTGTATATTAGCGTGATATGCACTTTCTGAAGGCACAATACCCCTCTTGTGTCAGGTCACAATGATGCACTGTAATGCTTAAATCTGTATGCAGGTCCTTATTTCTGAAATCCAAGTGTGTGTTTGCTTCTCCCACAGTGCTGTTTGTACATAATTTATAATGGTTTAGATTGTAAACTGCAGAATTAATGGGGGATTTCAGTAATCTGGTTAAGCCTTCGGCGTTTGAGCTGGGTCATCAAGAAAGACCAAATTGTGTGTAGTTCATAGAGGAACATTTTGATTGACTCAACTTAGCTTATGCTTGAATCCTCACTCAAACATTTTGGAATTACTAAGCAATTAAGCAAAAACTGGATAGAATGGCAGGAGAAAAAAAGAAGAAATAGACCTTTGGTGTGGATTTCTGCCCGTATGCGGAGCAAGCTTCCTATATTATTAGCATAATATGTTATTGCTGATATATTCCGCTATTTTTAGTCCTACAGAACTTTCCATTACAGCTCACTTTAAATCCTTTAGTGTTTTAGTGTACTTTAAGCAGCAATGGGTATTTTATCCTAGAAAGATTGGAATAAATCTAAAATACCGTATGTCGAATATCACAAATGGACTTCCTTCATCCTTCAGACTTGTAGACATGGACCCCCTCCCCCCTGTTTCCAGCCTCAATCACACTGCCCTCTTTTCCCGTTCTTCATTCCCTGCCCCCATTCGCACACCATACTACAGCCCAGTGTCTCTCTCCCCATCCCCCGACATTAATGCGGCTGCTCTCCACACCAGCCTGCCTTCTCTCATTATTAAAAGTTCATTCAAGGCGATCCTCCTCCCACTAGATGTATAGTGTGAATGCTTTATCATAGATTTCATTTTCTTTCGAAATTTGAACATTCTGTTAAATAATCAAATGTATCATTAGATCCAGTAGAGAAATTTCTTTATTTAATTTTAAGTCTTAAAAATTTTTTGCATACCTTTATAGTCAGGGAAATAACATGATTTAATTAAATTAGATATTTGATCTGATGTTGGACGTTACTAATTCAGCAGGGTTTACTACAGATGAAAATGCTATTCTGCCTTTGTCAATTATGCACACCCCACCCCACCCTGGCCTCGCCCCATCTCATTGACTCATATTTCAGCAGAATGCTCGATGGATTCGCATTGATCCACCGTGATCAATTTATAGATTCTGCAAGATGTTTAAGACATTTAATTTTGGACTGCTGTGCAATTTTCACGTATCTTATAACAGCAACATACTCTTTGGAAAACACTGGTTGTCACAGAAATGTCATAATGTATTTTGAGGATAGAGTTTGAGGGGCAGATTGTCTGGTGAAAGATAAAATCAAGTATTACTTGATTGTCACTTAATAACGTTACAACACCTGAAAAACGACAATGCGACACACAATGCCCGATGCTGATGAAAAAAAAGGAATGGTAGTAAACTCGCGAAATGAAAGTTTAAAAGTCTTCTGCTTTCATAATCAATGTCGGTATTTTTGTTTATAAAAAATCTCAGTATGTGGTTATAACAATTATACTAAACTGTTGCAGTAAGAGGTTTTTCATAGAAAAGCATACTTGACAATTTCAAATCGCCAATTTTTTTTCAATGTATTTAACTATTGATAAACCAGTAGTTATATCAAAGAATGATGCCTCTTGACTTTATTTCTTCACTTAGTTTACATTTAAAGATCTTTAACTGATTGTCAATGGTATTAAATGAATAGTCCACCAAAGGGAATATTATTATAAAATATTATCACTTTTAAAACAATCATGATTATTTCGTGAATAGCCTTACCTTAGCACCGATCTGATTACCACACTGGCCAGCCTGAATGTGCACGATTTCTCTCATTTTCTCTGATGTGCTATCAATAAAAAATATTAAGATTGAAGGAGTGTTTCTAAATTCCCAGATCTTCTAATTGTACGGCAGCGAAGCGCAGCTGTCTGAATACTTAGGCGGGACAAAGGTTTTATATGTCTGGACTATGTCCAGAACGAGGCTCTGCTTTGCTATTGGGCATAGACGATAGAATCCCAAAGAGCTGCGCAGTTAATTGGCCAGGGGTCTATTGCGAAGGGGTTTCTTGACTGCAAGGGGAAGGGCCGGAAGGGGACAGGGAGTGCCGACAGCTGCATGGACGAGGAAATTGTAGTTTATCATTGGCAATACATTGATCATTGAATAAATTCGTTTTTAAAATCAGCTTTCTTTTCTCCTTTCTATTCTATTAATAGAAACCAACAAGTGTTTTGTATTTTTGTTTTTCAATAAATTTAAATTGGTTAAAACGATACTACTCGATGAGCTTATAGCCTATATGCTCTACTCATTGATTAGAGATATAACACGCCTAAGACCAACAATAAACGTTACTGTTAAAAAAGAAAGAAGTACGGCGAAATCTTTGATTTTACTGAGGTTCAGTGATATCTAGACCCCTGTACATTTTGAAAACGTTTTTTTTAGTCTTACCCTTATAATTGTCTTCAAGAGATACAATCTGTACATTAATATAAGAATTTAGGAATTCAATCAAATCAATCAGAAAGTATATAGACTGATAAAACATAGTGATTTAACTGATAAAAATAGTGAATTAAAAATATTTACGCGTAAGTACATTTTAAAGGAACATCAAATTAAAATGTGTGGATTCTTAGAAAAAAAAACCTTCGAGCAGCAGTTACCCTGGCAACATAATGAGTACGTGACAGGTTTAAGAAGCACCGTTTTAACCTCCTGCTAATACCATGAAATGCAGTACATGCATTAAAAAACAAGAAAAATACAAGAGACGTTATTTGTACAAGAACCCGATGATATGCAGCTGACACCTCCAGTAATTAATATGTATATGTTTTCCTTCTATTGACCACTTTCTTTGTATAAATAATTGATAGGACTATATCAGAAGTCAAGTGATAGCAACTACTGTTTTAATCTGTCTCCAGTTTTACGTTGAGGATTTTCAGTTCAAGATGTAAACTACCAAGTTTAAAACACAGAGTACTGTACTGCAATACATTTCCGATAAAAAAAAATATCCAAAACGTTTTCTGTGAATCATTATGAAACAGAACCACGTATGCAAATATTTTCCGTAGTCTGATACAATCTACCAGTCCTAATAAACCACAAAATGAAGTCTGAATTTTTCGATGTAATCCAAGCCAGAGACTGGTATGTCTGTGATTTCAGAGTATGTCATTCCTGCCACTTGGTAACAGAATAGGCTACACTCGAGGCACCAATTGTTCAAACAGATGTTTTACAGGCTCACTGCTTTATGAATCCCCCGCCCATCCAGCAAAAGATTAGCCTGGGTAATGGGAAGAACAGACGGATCGAATCGGTACACTCTTAATCTAATGTGATATGACAATAAAGTTGGCATATTTTGCAGCGATTCGAAGCGAACATTTACGTCGGCGCAGCAGGGTAACTAACTGCATTTTATTTATCTATTACTTGCTGTGCTATCCTGCACATGCGCTTCTTCAGATTTGCTGAGTTGACACGTATATTGCCCTATCACCATCACTGAATCCTAAATAGAAGCATGAAGCCAAGAAGATGCCTATTGAAGTACACTGTCTTCTCCACCAGGGGGCGAAACAGGGGGCGTCGACCTTCTGGCTGGGTGGGGGTTACTGTCTCACTCGTGATCGGAAGGAGCAAATGTCAAGTAAACATGTTTTAAAAGTTTATCATCTTACGGTCGCCAGCATTTTGTGTTAATCTATTGGGCGTACGATTGGTAAGCTGCATTTGACTTCTTGATGCCGCGTTTAAATGCATTGTTTAGATAATTTCCATTACCGTGATTGCAGTTAACAAAGTGGTGTGTAAAAGTAGACTTTCTGTGGCCAGCTCGAACCGTGTCACCAAAGGTGACGATCGGTCATCATAATCCATAAAGCATGCAAAATGCAGCGACGCGTAAAGAAAAACCTCCAAACTGTAGTAACTATCCAACAAAGTTTACAGTTCAGCTAGTGAGATGGCCTATTTTGAATCTTTGTTAATTTGGCAAACTGTCGCTTTATTTTGTTCCAGTTTTGCTGTAAATTGAGCTACTACTTGAGCGAGCAGCAACCACCTAAAATGACAAGTTAAAACGTAAATTTTTACTCTGTAATCTAACGCGCTTGGTTTGCTTGGGTGAACAAAACCCGGAAATCATGTCAAAAGTATTACATTCTTTCATCTTTCTCAACACGTTTTTTTACACTGAAATATTTAATTATGGTTATGGCGTGTCCGGATTCTAGAGATAATGTTTTAATATATTTTTGTAGTAAAGAGGACTGAATAACCTTAAGTCGTGAACATCATAGCTAAACATAGCTTATTTTGATGGTGATATAGGTCTGATAATTAAAAGAAAATTCGGTACTTTAAAAAGCGCTCTTCGACTCAGGACACGGTTCTAAACTGGCTTGTAATTACCCCTGGGTAAGAAGTATCGTATAATATAGGGGTTAAATTTACCGGATGATTCCACCGTTGTGCACCAACGGCCTAACTTTGGCAACAGGAAGGAGAACACAAAGGTGTGTAAATGAGGAAGGAGACTTTTCGTTAGGTCGAGCGGTACGAGCATGGAGGTGTGTGCAAGATAATGGAAACACGTAATATATTATTATCAGCCACCTAGTTAGGAGCTGGGCTGCCCTTCGCCTCCGGTCAGTTTCAGTCCGTCTTGGAATTCTCTCTTGCAAGTTCTGACGTAGGTGTAGCTTGATATTGGAATATTCTTCAAGAAGTTTTTTTGAGGCGTGAAGGAGATGGCAATCTACTTTGCAGTCTGCACTCCAGAGACTGCCATAAAGATTCAGTGATTTTCAGCGTCCTGGTGATTAGCCAAGATATGTAAGGCATTCAGTATGGGGATGGTGTTCCTGAAACCACAGGGCCGCTGTCATCTTGGAATATGGGAGCATCATGAGAGATGAGTGTTTGCACCTGGTCTAAAAATGTACAAATATTCCTTGGCCTTCATATGACTATGCAGAGTAATCTTTATATCCAATGACTCCAATAAGACTGCCAATACCATTAGAGACATTGCCTTTTACCAGGTGTAAACCTGTCTGGATGCAACAAAGTGAAATATGCTTCATCTAACCATATCACTTGATTTTTTTGCTCTGGCTTCCATTTTCTGTGCCCCTTTATTGCAGCTTATCTATAAGTGCACTGACCTTACATTCTACAGGTTTCCAGACAGCAGCCCTGCCATAGATTCCTGCTTTGTGTTTACAACATAAAGCTTTGTTGGCACTTGATCCCCTAGAGATTTTTTGTTGATTTTTCAGGCTGCACTTTTCTGGTTTACAGTGACCATCTGTGTCCGTCTGTCCCTGCTGGAGAGTTTTATTTATGACTGTAGATCCTTCTAAGTCAAAGAAACTTTATTACCACCTTCAGCTCTATAATGCATGGGATGAGATATTGATCTCCTTGGTCATAATGCAAAAAACATTACTGTAATAAACAGAATATAAATAATTAGACATTTAAGCATGACATTGAGACATAAGACAGACAGGAAAATATTGTCTGCAATATGAGGTTTTCCATTTGACACACTAAATAATTTTGCCCTGGGTTACCTGAAATTTGGACACCAGTTCTTTGGCGTCCTTAGAATTGTTTTAATAGACTAGTTGTTTTGAAAACTCCAACATCAAAGAACTGAGTGTCAGGGCTGTAGCAAATTCTGATACTTGCCCCTCACCCCAATATTACTCACCTTGGTAGCTGTCTTATCATGTATATATTTCTCCATCCCTAAAGAAAAGATGTTGTAATTTCCTACTTGGGATAAAAAAAGTTCAATCTCATCTCTCAGGAAATGTATTCAGGGGGGACCAGATTCTGAAATGTGTATTTTATGCATTATTAAGAAATTAATTAAATGCAGAACTAGTAATAGTTTCTCTTTAATTTTAAGTAAGATAAAGACTTTATAAATCAGCCTTTGGGAATGAACTATCATGAGCTTAACTGAACTCTTTGTCATTTACTGTAGTTCCTTCATCATACCAAAGATGTTTTACACTTGTGGTCCAAATGAGGCGATGGTGGTATCTGGTAAGATATGCTGTTAATTCTAATTACATGAATTACAAAATGTCTGTATTTTACATTTATAATGAGATTGAGAATATCAGCCTTGTGACCCTCGCTGCAGTAACAGTGACATAGTCAGTATTCCTCCACACTTGGGTGGAATTATATACGGATGAGTTTCCTACCAAATTGCGTCTCTGGTTTCCGTGTGACGAGTTTCCTACCGTCTGGCTCTCAGGTTTCTGCCGATCCCCTCCCTTGATGATTGCCGGAGGCAGAGTGTTTGTCATTCCCTGCGTCCAGAAGATCCAGAGGTATCTGTCTGTCATGGCGCCCTTCAATCATGTGACCACTAACCACTCGTCTTTTCCGCTTTCTGTGTGCATGTGCTGTAGTTAATGTTCATTCTTTTTATAAGCATTAGCTGTATCATTTCTGTTATGTCTAAGGTCGGACAGCGTGTACTGTACATCCAGTGTGTTACTACATATCAGTCTGTCAGTGTCTGTATTATATAACAGTGTCTGCCTCTGTACATCAATCTGTCATTATACTGTATAATACTATCTACACATCAATCTGTCAGTGTTTGTACTGTATAACATTGTTTATATCTACATGTCAGTCTGTCAGCATCTGGACTGTATTTGCCTGTCTGTCAGTAGCTGTGCTCTATTCCCAATATGTAGGCTGCCAGTGGCTGCTCTGTGTACATGCGCTTTACCTTCAGGTCAGTGAGTGTAAATCCTCTCACTTCTTTCAGAATCACGCTGAACACTCTAACTCTGAATGTGAAGAGTGATAAAGTGTACACCCGGCATGGAGTCCCCATCTCCGTCACCGGCATTGCCCAGGTATGTCGTATGTCATCACCTACTGCAGCAACA